TTTGCGAAATTCTATGATTTTCCTAATTTATTACTGCGTTTAAATGTTGATTTATATATGTATGCATATGATGACCATAACATTTATAAAAAATTATTAAATATTTAATAAACAAAAGCCAAATAGTCAAAACTAGCCAAAATGTTGAGTAACATTAAGCCTAATACAAATTAGCAATGCTTTTTTGCAATTGCTTCTAAAATTTTGAGCTTTATTTGCTCTCTTTCTTCCTTTCTCTTTTCCCTTTCCTCTTTTTTCTTTAGAAACTCCAACATTTCTTCGATGTATGCCTTCCTCTCCTCCGCCATATCAGAAAGTTTGGTTTCCAAACTATCAGGTGCAGTTTTTCTTTTTTTAACTGAGGGGCAGCTCGGAATATCATCTGCAGAAAAAGAAATTTATTGAAAATATAATTAGTATCAAATGTTCAGTTACTGCCAGTAACTTTTGTAATTTTTTTATAAAAAGTTGGTTTATAGTTCAGCAAAAGCCATAAATGTCAAAATTCGAAACTTGAAAGTTCGATAACATTTTTTAATTAATTTTCATAAAAATTTTTTTGCGAGACTGTTCACAAAATAAATTACTAAAAATCAACCATAATTTGTAGCTACTTCAAACTTCAATCTCATTATACTGGAAAATTTATAGAATTTTCCTAGTTTTTATACAAAATTTGGAATTTTGGTTTTCGTGGTTTTTGTTGAACTATCAACCAGCTTTTTATAAACATATAACAAAAATTATTTAATACGAAAGGATTATTAACAAATTCTTTTTTTGGAGTGGGCCATTTTGACTGGCAGATTTAAATAATACAATTAAGAATAAGTGCAAGTTCTATGCATTATACCTAGCATATGCATAACCTCTTCCGTTACTCCAGGATTTAGTCAGAAGTAGACAGAACTAGGCCGGCAAGCAGTCTTAAGTTATGATAAATGTGTGTGCGGAACGACTTCTGGCTAAATCCTGGAGGAAGGGCATAGTCTAACTGTCTTTACACCCGAAATATTGATAGGGCTATTGAGGATATTGTGGAAATAGTCTTGTATTTGCATTCGCAAATTTTGTGCTTGCTAACATGCCACCGTTTGCATTTTATCGTTGTAAATTTACAAATGCACCGAATATGCAAATGCAAGAGCACGTGAACAAGATCCTGAAGAGCCCTTATATATAGTATACATATATAAGTATATCTTATACGATGTACCTGCAGCGGACTGTTCTAAGTCTGAAGCTCCATCTAAACTTGCGCCCGTGTTCTCTGATGCATCGTTGCCCTCCCACAAGAACTCAGGATTTATAGATCGTTTTTCGCCTAGAATGGCATCCAGCTCACTGTGGAATACTAAGAATAAATAAATAAAAAGTAATAAGCAAAAATTAAAAAAGTAAAAGAATTTTTTTAAACGACAAACGCGTAAACGTACTTATAATAACCTTTGGTAAGGACACGTAATTCTACTTCTACCGCTCTGCTGTTGTTAAGTAGGGTTTTTTTTATATTGCCGCTCCAGAGTCCTAAATTTGTTTTCAATTTGAAGGCAATTGAAACTATAGCCTTGCTCCGCCATCCCCTCTTCAATAATTTTCCACATTTTGGCCTAACGAAACGAAAATTGCTTCACAAAATCCTGGTTTATCTATCAAACAGTCAGTTTACGCACCTTTTCACAAAGGGGGCGTTTCCGTAAAAGCCTCGTCAACTTACGAGTTTTACTTAAGAAAATTTTAATTAATTTATTAATTTTAGTTACATCATTATTTTGTGATTTTTTTTTTATTTTATTTTTTTTTTTGATTTTATATTATTAATGAATTCATTTTATTCTTTCACTCCCAAAGTAGTGGGTTTGGTCCATAATTGGACTAGTATTTTTCTGTCTATTTTCAACTAGTATGAGACTGGTATATTTCTGACCGAAATCTGACAATTGCCATCTCGTAGGACATCCCCATGTAAAAAATACCAGTTGATTGCATGGAAAAAAGATAGTTGGCTGACTAGTTGGGCATGCGATTCATACTAGTTGTGAGGTAGTTAACAACTAGTTCATTTGACTACAGGTTGGTTAAAAATTAACATATTGGTCTAATTTGGTTACTTGAAGTTATCAACACAACATACCCAATTCTCCACGAAAAACTCCCCAAACCCCGATTGCTACCCAAACCGAAATTCCCTGCAAATCGGGGGGAATTTCCCGCGGGTTGACTTTCCTACACGCGATACATAATTCGTAGGCTGTGTACGTCGACTGGCGTGCTTTGTTGAACTCGGCCAAAATTGCTTAGCGGTTACAGTGCCAAATAAGAAGAAGAAGTATGTCGCCTTCTGATTTTTATAGAAATCTTTTCATTTTTGCTGGCTTCTTTGTTTTCACTATGGATAAAGTAAGTGAAAGTGTAAAGACAAGTGATCGGCTTAATTTTCTGAGTACAAGTGTATATTGTGGATTCCATATTCTGTCATAATAAAAAATTGTCATAATAAAAACGGTTTACTATACAAATGAATGACTTTTATTTATACTTAGATATATAATAATGGGGGCGTGGAACTTGTCTAACCCAGACCGAAGGTTCCTCAACAAACTTGTGGGTTCGAAGAAACGGATTCGTTTCGAGTTCATCCAAACGACTTCTTCAGACCAACGTCGCAACGACTTCGATTCGATGAGAAAAAACGACGTCGGAACGACGTTGCACTTTGTATAGAAAAAACGACTTCGTTTCGAGTTCACCCAAACGACTTCACCAGAGCGACGTCGTAACGACTTCGGCAAATCGACGTCGCAACGACGTCGTCTTCGCCTTGTGGCAAATTGGGAAGCAGCGAAGTTTTGCTTGACAGCCAGTGCTCGGACTTTACCACATTTGTGGAATAGATAACGCTTTTTTTGCTAAATTTCATTTCTACTACTTCTACCACCGTACGCTAAAAAACTTTCAGATCTTGAAACTTCTTTTTTTATTTGTTCATTTGCGCCTTAATGAATGGGCATTTTCTATAACAAAAAACAACATTGCTTGCTGCGACGTCGACACATGTATGATATGATCTTCCTCGTGCGTCTTAAAGGGCGTTTCCACGACAACCGAATCACGTGGTTCGCTCTCTCAATTACGAACGGCGAATAAACCTGTTTACACGACACATTTGTGATTCACTTTGTATTTCTGCTTCTTGTTCTTTGCTTTTGTTTATTGTTTATTGTGCATTTCAACTGGGGATGTCATGTCTATCGATTTGCATAGGATTTTTCAGATAATGTCTCACAACAAAATATGTTATTATCAAAATTTGTAATAAATTTGAAATAAATTACTGCAACTGAGCTAATTATGTTTCTAACGGAACTTCTTGCAGCCATTTAAATTTTTTGGCCAAAGTCACTTCTTTTTTTTGAACAATTGAAAAACTGGAATGACGGTTCAATGTACCGTAGATGTCAGTTTAAAAAAAAGCATCGATACATCGATGCATCGATTCATCGACTATTTATACATCGAGTGGAAAATTGTCGATGCATCGAAGCAAAACATCGATATTTTCGATGCATCCATGTTTTTCCGACATCCCTAATTTCAACGGTGGAGAAAAAATGTGTAGTGGTTAATTAGCTAAATCAATAGTTTTAACGAATCTAGCTATTTTTTCTATGTTTGTGCTGGTGGGGATGTGTGTAGTCTATGTGTTTTGACAGCCGTTATCGATAAAATTAGAGAAGACAACGATTTGTTCTTGATTCGCATGGTGATTGGATCTGAATCACCTACGAAGTAAGTGATTCGCTCTAAAAATTTTGTATGGCGAATTAGATAAAACAGAACGAACCAGTGGAAATAAAATTGACTGTTCCAAAAGTGGAACGTATTCAGTCTCTATTACCCATATTTCTAGCGTCAGGAACGCTGGCTGGGCTGTTTTGGTCACCCGTGGGTTCCCGCGGGCTCGTGTGGAACAAACCTAATGTAGCTCTCAAGCGAATGTACGTAGAAATGCAGCAAACGACCAAGAATGATAGAATACAAGATTGCGCCAATCGAGCTGAGAGCAACTGGGTGTAACGTCACATTATTTTGAGAATGAGAGTGTAAAGAATAATTTAGAAGAAGAAGAGGAAGAAGCGAACAAGTGGTGATGTAAAACTAAGTTGAATTGTACCTACTCTTCAGCTTCTTAAATTTGAACGTACATTCGGTACAAGCACATTATTTTAGGTACATTTGGAACGTAGTAAATTATTGTTTCATGTAAGTAGAAAAATTGTTATGGTACAAACAGAAGGTGTAGTCCACCAACTACCAAAAATTAATGCACATAAAAGTACATGTTTACTGTTTAGGTACGTATATCAACTTTTAGATACAACTTTTCGGCAAATTGGTACAATATGAAAATTTAATATTCATCACTTGTGCGAAAAAATAATAATGTGACGTCAGCGAAAGGTTGGATGCTGTCAAATCGAGAAAAAGAGGACTAGCGGTCCGCGGAAGGCGCCACCTTTGTTTCGCTGCATCGTGGCAAACGAGGAGCAGTCAACAAGTCAGAAACCATGTGAGCAGCGCAATGCATTGACCGCAGCAGAGCAAGGGGTTGGTTTACTCCTACGTGAGCAGTGCAGTGCAAGCGATGAAGGAATCAAAAACAAAATTACTAGTCAGCTTCACAAAAAGGAGAAGGTTATCAATTCGTCGGAAAATGAATGAAATTTGGATAGTGGTGGCTTTGGCAGGTACCAGGTAGTAAAGGTGTATAAAATATTTACCACCTCAAATTCGTGATAGTATAAAAGTCGTTTTTTATATATTTTACTCGTATTAACATTAGAAACCACGTCGTTCATTGCCAGACACCTACCCTTTTTTCTTATAAAATTTTTTTAAATTAAATTAAATTAAATTAAATTTTGCAAAAAATAGGCTTTGTGGCATGGCGAATAGCCATTGGCCTTAACAAATTTTGTAAGAAATTGGAATTCAACTTGTAAGGACCGCCGTCTCCGATAAGTAACTAACAAAGTATAATTTTTATCAGTTTTTTCGTGCTCGCACCTACGCCTTTAAAGCGTCTGGCAAGATGAAGGAACTATCGAAACGGTCTGGCAAGTGAGGAAACATCTTTTGATAGTTCCCCAAGTGACATATATAAAAATCAGCTTTTATACTATGACCAAAGTATAACTTAAATTTTTCATGGTTTAAGGGTGTCTGCTAAGTGTCTGGCAATAAACGACGTGGTTTCTAATGTCATTACGAGTAAAATATATAAAAACTGACTTTTATACTATCACGAATTTGAGGTGATATTTTATACACCTTTACTACCTGGCACCTGCCAAAGCCACCACTATCCAAATTTCATAGTCTGGGTTTGTTATTACCTGCGTTGGGGGCATACATAGGGCATAACGAAGGTCTGGCCGTCGCTGGCTCTTGCTCTATAAGCATTTGTTGAAAATGCAATCTCACATAGAAATGTAAAAGTAAAAGTCACTAGTATT